GTGTACCTCTTTCGACGCATCATCTTCTACTATCACCACAACCAGCAAAACAACGACAACAGTGAAAACAACAGCAACAGCTACAGCATCGCCAAACGTCTTACTCAAACGACCCCCGCTGAGCTTACCGAGAGTATTTCAATGCCAAACGTCGGTTCTGCTTCCACTACTACTGATGGTGATGATAAAAAATTGACTGAACAGGAGAGGAAAAGAGGCCTGCCAGCATCGCCGTCACTTCCTCAACAGTATTACCACAGTCAGCAGCAACAACAACAGCAGCCATCGTCTCAGCAATCAGTCGTCACCTTCCTCTCCGACCACCAGTTGGCCGTGCTGGAGCAGGCCAACGAGGACGCCGCGCACCTCCTTCGACATCTCTTTCGCTCCGCCGACGAGTCCGTCTTTCTGGAGCTGTTTGAGCAGGAGGCGACCATTGCTTCGGCTGTTGCTGCCGCCGCTGCTGCATCTTCTCTAACTGCCGTCAACAAAAGCGGCCCCAGCAGCCGCTCAATGTCGGAAAGTAGCAGCAGCGGTGGTGGTGGCGGTGGTGGTGGTGATATCCAGAACAGCCGAAACGCCAAAAAGCAACAGCAGATCTGGTCGCACAGTCCGACGCTCAGTCTGGAGCAGCTCTTTATGGACTCGACGCTGCTGCTGCCGCCCGATGAGATTGCCCCCTCCTCTTTTGACTCCAACTTCTACCTCCGCCTGCCGATGAACGAGTACGAGCGGACGAGATATGTAAGTGTTTAAAAAATTTGGTTGTGTGCTTGTTTAAAAATGGACTAATTTGGTTTGTTTTTGCTTTTTTGACAGGCAATCAAGGTCTTCTTCATTCTCCGTCGCCTGTCGGCAGATATTCGTGGCGCAAATAGCAGCAACAACAACAATAATATCAACGGCGGCGTCGCAACTGAGGTCACCGAAGAGAACAACAGTTTTCTCGGCCTGCCGCCGGAGATTGACAACCTGAAAACGCTGCTCGAGTCGACGGAAACGACCAAGATTGCACTGGATCAGTTTCTTGATTTAGGTAAAAGTTTAATGTTTTCACTCAATCATTGACACACATTATTTAACGTTTATCATTTTAATCCTCTCACCTCAAAACTGAAACCTCTTCCTGTTCCATTTATTCAGGAAACTACGACCTGAACTCCTGTTCCATTCGCTTCTTCTACCCTCTTTTGCCGACGCGTGGCGGCAGTGCCAACGGCAGCCACCGAACTGGTGGTGGGGGCTTCAACCATCATCGCAATAGTGGTAGCAATCACTACGGCTTCTCCTCGGCCCCGGGCTCTAGAGCCGACAGCCCTTCCATTTCGGGCAGTTTTTTAGGCGGAAGTGGAAGTGGTGGCGGCGGGGGCAGCAGCGCCCGAAAGCTGTCCCGCTTCATGACGATCACCACGGAGCACCTGCTGCTGCTGGAGCCGGACACGAAGCACTACGGCTGGGGCATCATCCGCTTCGTCGCCCGCCTGCAGGACCTCGCCTTCTGGTCGCACGCCCACGCCCTCGGTCAGCTCTGTGCGCCGGCCAACCCGAGGAAGGAGCGCGACGACGTCCAGTCGATTTACGTCCACTTTCGCCGCTATCAGATGTCCAGTTCGATGGTGGAGCCGGGCGGAGCCGGTGGAAGCAGCACCTCCGTTCGCTCGCCCACGACGCCCTCCTACTACTCCTATGGCAACAGCAACAACTTCAGCAATTCTTCCACTAAGCCGCTGCTAATCCGCTTCACCTTTGACGACCAGATTCGGTGCTACGCCGCCAAGCAGCACCTGACGAAGGCGCAGTCGAAGGTGCACGACCGCAAGATGACCGCCATCATTCGGCTGATTGACTACGAAACCAATAGCAGGGCAGTGGCTGCTGCTGCTGCTGCTGCNCTGCTGCTGCTGCTGCCGCCGCCGCTGCTGCTGCTGCTGCTTCATCTTCATCCTCAACTCCCACCTCTTCTTCTGTTTCAAAAGTCCTTGATCACGGTAACCAGCAGAGTGGACCGCCATCATCAACTACTGCAAATGCTTCTACGCACTCCAAAGACGCCTCGGCAACGGCGGCTGCGGCTCGAAAGAAGGCCCTCCTTGGTGGAATGCACCCGCTGCTCAGTCGGTCAATGGCTGTGCCCGGCGGGGCGGTCCTCTCCAGCTCGGTGGTCACCGCCACTGAGATGAACTCAAACAGCAGCAACAGCAGTTTGGCCAAGTTTGAAATGCTGCACCGGGCGACCAAGTACGCCTATCCGACTGCTTCCGGTTCGGCTAAAGGGGTCACTTCTTCTTCTTCTTTCGCCTCCTCCTCCAAACCAAAGTCCTCTTCTGCCGCCCTGAAAGCTTCGATCAATGCCGCCGATGACGGAGAAAGTGGAGTAGCTGCCGGTGTAAAGCCGCCTTTGCGCAAGAAAAAGGTGATCAAAGTAAGCGGTGGTGGCAGCGGCGGAACAGGTGGTAACAGCGGAAACACCTCAATGGTGAGCAATTTACTTTCTGCCACAGTTGAAGAGAAAACGGGTTTGACTGCGACGACGCTGATTCCCCTCAATGATCTCAGTCCTCAGACGGTTCGTCGAGGTTCCATTGATGGAAGCAGTGGTGGCAGTGGAGGTGCTGGCAGTGATGTGAACAGCCTCCAAGAGCACCACCATCAACCTCTGGCCGACTCGCTCAATGCGCCCACTCACCTCGCCTCAACGACGACCACCACCTTCACTAACACGCCCTCAACCGCTGCCTCTTCCGTCTCCGCTTCAAATCATCATCACCGAAAGTACAAGCACACTGAAACGTTTGATATTTGATCAAAAGTTTTCTTTTTCTTTTTTTCCCTCTCTTGTTCCTGTTAGCTAGCCGCCATTTGTTAAGGCTGAAAAGTTTATATGATTTCTCTTTATTTAATTTCAAAAACCTGGCCAAGTACAAACAGTTTTAACTGGTTTCAACAGCTGTGGCGTTTCCAATGCTTTGCCACAGCAATCTGCAATTTCAAATCTTGCAAATCTTCTTGCCTGCGATACGTTTTCTGTACTTTGTGTTTCTCCTCAAGCATCCCCACTTGAACCTTAATTTATATTTTCTTTTTTAACTTTGTTGTTATTATCTTTTTCTTTCTTTGTTTTTGAGTTAAATTGTTATTTTATTTTCTTAGTTTGCTAATTTTTTAATTATTTAACTGTTTCGATTTGTGTTGTTGGCCATTAATTCGTATTTGTTACCTTTGGTTACTAGTTTTTTCATTTTTCAGGAAACCTTACTACAATCAAACAATTTCTCTCACTTTTAAAAACTTTTTTTCTAATCTAATTTTTGTTACATTTTTTGCAAGTTTTTGCACTTCAAATAATGATACTTGTCTGTGGTCGTTTAATACAATTCTTGTTCTCACTTTGGTTACCAATTTTGCTTTTTTAAAATAAAAAAATTTATTTATTTAAAATAAAAACACATAAATAAAACTTCAATCTAACTAGAAGTTTGTTTACTTTTTAATTCAAATAAAATTTGTGGTTGTTTTATTGTTACAAATTTTGTACTACAGCACAGGTGCTCAGTGTTCTACAACTTTTGAAAATAAAAAGATAAAAATTAGCTGCCAAAAATGTAAGCAATCAAAGTAGTAAATATACATGTACACAAACAAAATTTCATTTCAGTTTGTTGTAAATTCGAAAAATTGCAAAACTGAAAAATTAAATGACAGTTTTTAAATATTCGACAAGAAAAAATAAAAGTTAATCCATTTTAAAACAAAAGTAAATAAAAATTGTTTACAAAAAAGAAATTGTAATATGGAAAATTAATAGAATAGATAGCGTGGTAGTATTGTTAGTCTGGAGTAAAGAAAAGTATTGTACAGAAAGAAGAGAACAATGTAAATTGTGTAAGTGAAAAAAATCACAAACGTACAAAATGAAATTTTTAATGTTTATCAAAAGGTGCACTGTTGTTCACTTTGTTAAGGTGGTGATAATAAATAAATAAATAAAAAGATTTAAAATAAAAATAATAACAAAAACGTATATCTAAAAAAGTTATGCTACAGGTTACAAGTATCGACTTGCAGTTGAATTGTTTAATGCAGAAATCTCTTCTAAGTTTCTCAGACAAAAATTTCTACAAAAACATAAGAAAGGAAAGGCTTAAAAAAGAAAGAAAAAGTGAGAAACAGCATTAGACTGTGTCCGGTGAAGGGGAGAAGCAGACACCAAACTATGCGAACAGCTGAAACCGTATTGCCACTACAACAACGACGACAAAAAGTGAGTGAGTGAGTGAGTGTGTGAGTGATAGAGAGAGAGAGAAAGAGAACATCAAAGAAAAACATAAACTTTTTAACTAATTTACTGTTCCCCTTTTGTCGTTTTTGCTTTTGCCATTTCTTCTACTAAACATTTTACTACTAGTGAGAGAAGAGAAAGACAACTGCTCAGTGAGAAGTCATCTCCGAGACGACCGTCGGCAACGTGGACGTCGCCGTGGCAGTTGCGGTGATGCTCTCACCCAACATGACGTCTCGATAGCTGACCGACTGTCCACCGAGAGGGTGATGCACTCCGAGGGGGGTGAGCTGACCAAAGTGGTGACCGAGAAGGTTGGCACCGTTCCGAACACCGGAGAGCATGCCACCACCACCACCACCACCTCCGCCTGAGTGATGATGGTGAATGGTGCTGCCCGAGATGGAGGTCACCAGCAGCTGGTTCGGGTTACTGTTGTTGTTGTTGGAGTTGTTGCACTGTTGAGAAGGAGAAGAGGACATTGGCGAGAGATTGAGGTTGCCGCCGCCGCCGCCATTGGAGTTTCCCGAGACGACCAGAACGCCTGAGCTGCCGTTTTGGCCATTCATAGAGAGCATACCGCCACCAGAGTTGTCCTTCTTGTTCTCCTTCTTCATCATCTCCTCCCGTTTTCGCTGCTGTTTGCGGTCTTTTGCGCGACGGTTTTGAAACCAGATTTTAACCTAAAGTTAAATAAGAAAAATGTAATGCAAAATTAGTTACATTTGTATGCTAGTAATTAAATTTGTTGTTTTTCTAAATAACCAATTATAGTAACTCAAGTTTCTCCCTTTCATTTTTGCTAAATGATGAAACTATTCACCTTTGCACTAGCCAGCACTTATTACAAACATTGTCACTTAACACTGCCCACATTACAGTAGGCAATATCAGAAAACTACGACAACTACAGTGCAAACAAAGCATAACAGCATAGCAGTTGCTACACTTGAGCTGCTCAGCCTATCAACTGTCAATTGATCTGATTGCCCATTGATCAGTGTGGGCAGGTGTGAAAGTGTGTTTTCATTTCCAATCTACTTTACACATTATCAGCCCACAACTTGTCATGTGCAACTCAAAAAGCTTCTCGAGTTACGCTAGTCGCACTTCAAACTAGTGCAAGGGCTTTTGCGTACAAAGTACTGTTTAGGGTGAAAACAAAAGCAGTGGAGGCCTGCGCCTGCCAAAACAGAAAAAACGGAAAAAGCAATTGAAATACTTTCTTACCTGTCGCTCTGAAAGCGCCAACTGCTGCGCCAGCTCTGACTTCCGCTTGATTGTAATGTAGCGTGCAAAGTGGAACTCTTTCTCCAGCTCCACCCGCTGCACCTCAGTGTACACCACGCGGTACTTGTCTTTGGTTCGCGTTTTGCCTGTCATTGGGAAGAAGAGAAAAAAAAAGAAAAAAAAGTTAGTATAAACAGGAAACGTAGTACTAGAGGAAAAAGAGTTGCAGCAAGCAGAAAAGAAGGCAGCAGCAAGTTATGTGTTCTGCCATCACATTTAGCGGTAGTAGTAGTTGTGGTGACACAATGTGAGCACTACTTTTCAAATAGAGATCGGCTTAATCGCCGACAAGCGAGTAAATGGGCTGCAGCAGCAGCAGCAGAAAAAAGAGCATTCAAACGAGTGCCCGAGAGCTCGTTCACCCGCTCGCGCGCGCCCAGTGAACATTGGTAATGGCTTTATTGCCTCTTTTCCTCTCTCCCTCTCTCTCTCTTTTTCCTAGCACTAATCAATTGGCAGTGGTGGTGGTGTGTGTTGACGGTAATCAAACCTCTTCGGTTTCCTTGTGGTCTCGGTGGACATTGTCACATTGCCAATTGTCTGGTGGTGGTTGTGGTGGTACACCAGAAAATGCACACAAACTAATCCACAACGAGCAGAAGAGAAAGCAATAGAGACAGATGGCCAAATGGGTGCTTGGATGCGGCCCCGGCCAGATCGACGGGGGCCAGTCTGCAGTTTGATGTCTCTATTCTCATCTAAGCATCATTCAACATTTGTTCATTCACGGAGATCTCTTTTTCTCTTTCTTTTTCTTTCTTTGCCTCCCTCACCCTTTGTTTGCACAGCCGCTAATTGGCATCAATAAACACAGTGTCTAACAACCATTGACAGCACTGTGTGGCTCGCCTTTGTCGCAACTTTCCCTTTGCTAAAGTCGTGCTCCTGGTTGACTTTTTGCAGCTTTACTGGAGCCAATGACCAGCGTTGAATGGTTGCACTGTTTAGTTGATGTGCAGTTTTACTAAAACAAATTTTAAAAATAAAATAATTTTTGTTTTAGAAGCACTTTAACTTAGTTTATGCTGGTGGAAAGTTGGAAAAAATATCACTGAACGATAAGGATACACAAAAGAAGGAAAAATTCACTGTCGTGAAACAAACATAACGTTTATAACTAAAACTAATTTCAAGTTTTTAATTGTTGTATGTATAACTAAAATGAAGTATCAATTAAGGCCAGACAAGGAGACAGGCGGCGCTGCACTTAGCGTAAAGCATTGTTTACCAAAATCTGAGTAATTTTCGAATTGCGATATCTCGGTCAAATCTTAAGCTAAAACTACGTTTATGGTTTTAAATTGAAGTTAACAAATAGGCCGAGAGACGCTTCAATCAAAATATTTTTAACTGATTTTAAACTTTTTTAATTGCAAGCTGAACTAAAAAAGTATAATTTTTAACGTTGTTTTTCACTAAAATTGCAATTGAAAAAGTTTGGAAACATTTAAAAATATTCTGATTGATGCGTTCCTTGGCCTATTTGTTATCTTCAATTTAAAACTATAAACATAGTTTTAACTTAAAAATTAGCTGAGTTATCGCAAATCAACAATTACAAATTTTTGCATAAAGAATACACAGGAGCCTGTGCAGCGCAGTCTGCCTCCTTGTCTGGCCTTAAGTTTAAACAATTTAAATTCACACTTTCTCTTTTGCATTCATTGTGCCTAATTAAATTTTTAGTTTGTTAGTTTGCAATTTACGGATTTTAACAAAACAGGTAACTGCTTGTAGCATTTGTATTATTATTATTCCTTTACTTCCTAAATTTGATTGATTTTGCTAGCAAAAAAGACAAAAAACAGTATTTAAAAAACGACAATTAAAAAATTACGTTTTTACTCGTTTCATGTTTTTAACTGTTTATAAAACAAGATGCAAATCATCCAATTGTATCAATCTTTTAAATCAGTGCCGCACTTTGCACTTTGCACTTTTTTATTTTATTGAAAAAGAAGCAGAGTTTGCTTTTTATTTTGTTATTCTTTTTCAATGCATTTTAATTCAATTGCCGATTAATTGAGCTGCCCAACTTGCACTTGAATTGTGCTGAGCTTGCCGTTTTATCCAATTTCACTGTCCACTTTGCATTTTCTATCTTTCATTTCACCTCAATGCCTCATCACTTAGGCATTCCACTACTTTTGCCTCTGTCTTTTATAGTTTTGGGTAAGGAGACTTTTTATGCTTTTTTGCCAAATTACGTTGTTGAACTTGCCGCAGTAGTAGCAGCAACAGCAGCACAACAGCAGCGAGCGACTCGTGAATTTTACGATTGGCGCCAACATGGTCGCAAATTGAAACTGCGTTGCTGTTGATGCTGCAACACACTCACAACACTCTCTAGTAAACTCCGGTGAATAAGACAAAGAAAGCCGCCGCAAACTCTAAAGAGGAATGGGCGCGTGAACATCAAATACAAGTTTGGATGCGGTTCAAATAAAGAGAGAGAGAGAAAAGGCAGGAAAGATTGAATTAATTAACCAATGTTTCTTTCAAAAGAAAAGGCTTACTTTGCAAAGCTCCCTAAAACCTGCATTAATTGCCTGCTATGCTTTGCACTACTTTTGCCTGGCCCCTTGAAGCAATTGCAGAGAAAGGAGAAATTGATTTTACTGAATGAAACAGTGACTGTTGTAGTGACTGCTGTGAGCAGCACTCTGCTGGGCACACTTCAGCATTAGCAGAAGCAGCAGCAGCAAAAGCACTGAGAAGGGAGGGGAATGTGCGGAATGTAAGTGTGTGCACAAGCTCTGTTCACCTGACTCACTTTGCCTTCTCTTTGATTTTCTCCCCTTTTTTATTTAATTGATGACGGTTTTACGATGTCAGTTTGACATTTGTCGCATTCAAAATAGAGAAAACAAATCAGAAGGTTGAAAAACGATATATCTAGTAAAGGTAAACTGAATGATCAAAAAAACTAAATTTTGTAAAAACTGCTCAATTAAATTTTTTGTTTAAAATTTAAACAATTTGTAAGTTATCAAAACTTGATCAAAGTTTAAACAAACTTTAAGCAAATGATTTGCTAAAAATAAAAAGCAAAAAAAAGTGAATAAAACCAATTTTACAGCAAAAGCGCGCGCAATTTCACTCGCAACTGTTGTACATTGTGCTGCACTATAATAATCTCAATTGATGCCTGCAGTAGACGGCAACAGTTCACGCACCAGCACTGCGCAATCCAAAAAATTGTGGTTTCTATGTAAATGTTGTTAGCAAACTATTGGCTTCATGACACCACAAAAATTAAAAATTAACTTAAAATAAAAATTTTTATCATCAAATTTTAAACTCGGTAAACTGAAAATATAAAAACTGATCTGAATAACGCAAAATTTAAATTAAACAAAAACTAAAAAGCAAAATAGTAAACAAGCAATAAAGCAAAAAGAAAGATAAAAACAAAAACAAAAAAGTATTCTGTACCTCTGGAGCACTTACCGGTGCTGGACTGCGACGAACTGGAGTTGGTTGACTTCTTCATCCACGTGTACATGTTCAGGTGGGCTGAGGAGGCGGAGGCCGTCGAGGCGGCAGAGTGAGGCGGCAGGGAGGGCGTGTTCGGTCCACCACCACCGCCGTTGCCTGAAGATCCACTTCCGCCACCATTACTGGAAGAGGATGAGGAGGTGGCCGTCGAGGAGGCGCCATCACTGGTGCCGCTAATGTTGAGAATGCCAATGTTGGGTTTGATGTCCACCTGATGGCCACTATCGTCCAGGCCACCGCCACCACCACCGCCATTGTGGTCGACGACCACCACCGAGGAGGAGGAGGCCGTCGACTGCTGGTGCTGAAGCAGTTGATGGTGGTGATGCTGATGCTGCTGCTGTTGGAGATGCTGAGAGTGCTGCTGCTGCAGCTGCTGAGATCGCGATTGACCCGACGGACCATGGGGGCCTAGGAAGAGGTGTCCAGTGACAGAGGAGGAAGAGGAGGAGGAGGCGGCGGAGAGACTGCCTGGCTGCATGGCAGAGAGCATGGTGATGCTCTGCAGGGCCTCTGCTGAAGGATTGTGATGATGGCCGCTGCCGCCTAAAGAAGGCGACTCATTGCCCTCACTGGAGGCCGTCAGTCCCGAGTCGGGGCTGGAGTTGAGTAGACTGCTGTTATTGCCGCCGCCACCGATGCCATTACTGCAGCTGGCAAAAGAACCCATCATTGAGTGGTGCAGCTGGTGGTGGTGGGCGTGGTGGGCAGGGTGGTGCGAATTGAACGGACCGAGGCCGTCCACCCCGACGCCCACGCTGAGCGGCGTCAACGTCGAGGCGGAGTGCATTGACTGAGGGTGGTGAGGAGGGCCGCCCATCATTGACGCCCCCTGGTGGTGAGGCGCATGAGAGGAGGAGCTTGCAAAGAGGTTGTTGTAGTAGGAGTGATGGCCGGCGGCGGCGGCGGCAGCAGCGGTTGGGTGGCCGTACGGTGAGGCGTGCGAAACATTAACCGAAAAGGGATTTGTCCGTGGATCGGAGAGGTAGTCGAGCGAGTGGCCGGTGGCCATTGCCTGTCGTCCTGCCGCCTGAGGGTGCAGGGGGTGGTACAGAGGGTGGTGGGAGGGGTTTCCAGGATGATTCATCGGTCCGGTGGAGTAGGCGTTGGAAGGATGAGAGGGCTGCGGTGGCGGCGGCGGTGGCGGTTGCAGGCTTTGGTAGGCGCACGCCGACAGTGACGCTGAGTGGTGTCCAACAACTGGGCCGCCGGCGGAGAAGGGACCCGACATTGAGGGGCCCACGTTGGGGGACCACTCGGCGGAGACGGCCATCATCTCCGATGGCGACGGGTGGTGGGGATGATAGGCGGAAGCTGCCCTCAGCCGGTGACTGTTGGTAGCCGCCGCGTACCAGGCACTGTTTGCCGCCGCCGCAGAGGAAAGTGCATCGGCGGCGGCCGCCGCGGCGGACATTGCCAGCGAGACGTTGCCGTTGCCATTGCTTCCGCCGCTACCACCACCTCCACTTCCGGTGCTGGGCGACAGGTGGTGATCGCTGGTGGCGCCCGTAGAGCCGGTGCCGTACGGTGACGGGGGCGTCATGGGCGCCACTGCCACGGCCATGCCTCCCGAGCCGGTGCCGTACATCGTTGGTGGCAGTAGTGACTGCAGCGAAGAGGAGAAGAAGGGAATGGTTGCCGTGGAGAGAGAAGTTTGAGAGTAATGGGTCTGGGCAATGCTTTCTGGTGAAGAGGAGGAAGAGGAGGAAGGTGGCTGTAGTTCGGAAAGCCCGGTTTCCTGCTGCTGATGCTGATCGCTGGCGTTTAGTGTGGTCGGTGATCGGAGAAGAAGGTGCTGTTGGTGGTGCTCGTGCTGGTATTCACTGAGGTCGTAGGAGTTGCTGGTGGTCGGTGGGGTTGAGATCGCCAAGTGGTCTTGCTGCTGTTGTTGGACGTTTTCAGAAGCGGAAATTAAGCTGTTTCCTGGGGTGGGCGGTGAGGTGCAGACACTGCTGTCGCTGGTAGTGGTGGTGGTGATTGGGTGATTGCCGCTGATCACCACTGAGGCGGCAGTGTTTGCGGCCACTGGGGAGGACAGGCTTACAATGTTAGAGGACAAATCAGTAGAAGAATTTTGCGCTTGATGACTGTTCAATGAGGAGTGAGACGTGTCCTGGGCAGTCAGTCCAGGTCGGTGGAACATGGCCTTTTGATCTGGGTACAGTGTGGTGTCAAAGAAAACCATTGGAAAATGACGGCGGTGATAATCAAAAATGAATGTTTTTTGGTCAATCAGTAAAAATGGAATGCAATTATAAAATAAAAAAGCGTTTGTGAAAAAATCGATAATTATACACTGCAAAAAACAACAAAACACATGCGGTGATTTTATTTAAAAGAGAAACACAAACAAATAAAAGCAAATGTGTGGAGGAGTTTCTTTTGCTGTTTTTCTGCTGCTGCCGCTAATGACAACTGATGATGACTGAAGTTCAACACAGTTTGGCTAAGAAGCCACACTGTCGTGAAGTGGACACGGGGGTTTTATATTAAGCCCACATTGTCCATGATGACGATGATGGTGATGGGCAGATGATGCTGACAGACGAGTGCTAAAGCAGATGAGCCTGCCAGGAGAAAGACAAAGCACGAGCGCCAGCGCCAGCAAAGAAAAACACAATGAGTGATCACGATAACGAGGGTGCAAATGATACAGCGACCACGACGACGACGACGACGACGACCAAAAGATCACCAAAACTGAGACGAGACAAGTGAGAGATGAGAGAGAGAGAGAGCGAGGGAGAGAGAGATCGAGGTGACGTGCCAGCGTGTGGCCACTTGGCTTCCAGTGTCAAACGCTTCAAACGCGGACTTTTTGACATAAAAGCGCTCAGAGTCATTGTGTTTTGCAGGCTTAAGCAGTGCTCTTTGTGATTGGCTGGCTGAGCCGTTCAGAGGCGGGCCCACTACACTGCAAACTGCACAGCAGTGGGGCGGCAACGAACACTCGCAGTGACTGCCTCTACCAAAGTTGACGACGTTTTTCATTGGTCGTCGCTGGAGCACTTATTGTCTTTGATCACTGCTGGTTTAAGTTTGCTTTTGTTCACTGGTATCACCTTCTTTTTTGCCGACAACCTAATCTGCAAATTTTATATAAAACTGAATCTAAATATGGTAAAATGTGATTTGCGGACTTAAAAAACATTTTTAA